GTCATCTGGCTGTAGCAGTGAGTATTTAGAGTTCACCTTAAGTCTCCAGAGACCCGGTGGCTAGCTCTCATGGTCTCGCTGATGTAGAGCAGAAAGTGCTCTTCTTGACTGGATATCAGTTAACAGCTGTATACGTTGTGTTTGACTGAATGGATCTATAAGGACTAGGAAGAATCGTGTGACGAACTCATTCATATTCGTTATCTCTGCTTATGCGCTTACTGACTGCAGTTCGGATGATGCAAAGGATGAATTCTATGAGAAGCTATCAATTATGCTACTGGGAGAAAAATGCTCAGATGTTATCATAGTGCCAGATGACTTTAACGCTCAAGTAGGGAAGCTGAATCCATCTAAAAGTCATCTTGGAGGTACCTACTGTATACCATGCTATCGAACTAACATCGATGATCATCTGTTGCAATTTTGTTCTGACCAATCACTTGTTCTGAACAGCAGTAATTGTCTCATATGATGTTCACCGACTTCAATCCAACGGTGAACGCAGATAGATCACATTACTATAATCGGTCGTTGGAGAGGATTGGTGGATGATTGCCGCTCTTTCTGAAGTACTAGTCTGGACTCTAATCACGCGCTAGTAATATGGGTTCGTGTACGTCTCCACCTTACTGTTCGCAAGAAATAGGGGATAATAAAGCTTGTCTATTTTTGATTGGAAGATGAGGACGTCAAGTACGTACGTAAGATGAAGATAGCTAAGCTTTTGTATGAAAATGACAGCAGTGTTCATCCTGAGGAAACCTGATGTGATATTCAGTCTGCTGTAGAAACAATCGTATAAACAATTGGTAACCTATACCCGAAGGTTAGAAAACATCAATGGTGGACTCAGTGTGGCCAGGCAAAGGCATATCACTAGTCTATAAAGTCCTTGACTATCGGTCTTTGAGATTTAGACTACCTTGTTGAAGTCTCCGGGACGGCAGGATTCAGTGGTTGAGGACTCAATGAAACAAACGTCTGGAAATCGGTCACTATGACGTAGATTTATTCATTCTCTGACGTATTCGAAAATTTAAATGTTTTCGAAATATCATCATTTCATTATTGTTGGCCTTCGATTGACTCCTTTGAATTGAAAGACAGGTTTTTGTGTTTGTCTGTCTACCCATCAGCAGTCTATCCTTGTCAGTATTGATCTCTATCCTGTAACTACTTACGTTTATTTCAGTAGTGTGTTGAAGATGTGATTTCAAAACGTTGGTGAAACTGGTGAATGTGATCATTTCTAATTCAGACTGTAGAGTGTGATAACAAACGAAAACGATCCCAACCCCACGATGAACTGAGGAAGGATGCTGACATGACGAACGGACAGCTAAGTTGTGAATGTAGTGATGTTAAGTATGAATTATACTACTGAATAAATACTGAGTAGTATAAAACTAAACACATAAAAAGAGATGCAAGGTTATCATTATCACAAGGTAGTTAGGGTATTAATAGGTATATTTGTGTAAATCTCTGGTTCATATTCATCTGAAGAAATAATTAACTCGAACTTCAGATATGCCTACTGGCTTAATGAACCTCCATTAATAAATTTACATCCCGGGTTGCATTAGTGCACCTCTGAAATAGATGAAAGATGCAAAACCATCTGGTTGGTACACATATATATTGCCAACTTGCATCATATCTCGGGTCGGCGAGATATCCGAATACCGGTTTAAGAAGAAGGAAGGAAAGGTACCTGCGTATTGATTGGAAGAAGGGCCACCTTATCAAACCCCCGAAGAAGGGCGGCCAAAGTCTTTGCAAGAACTGGCAAGGAATCATCCTCCACCTCTGTCCACCCCAAGCAAAATATTATACCGCATCATCCTGGAGAGACTAAAGGATGCGCTGGATTCAAAACTACGACCGGAACAGGCTGACTAGATTCAGGAAGTACAAATCATGTACGGACCAAATTGCACTGCTACTCTGCGCATCATCATAGAACAGAGTGTAGAATGGCTGTCAACTGGGTCTCTACCTCAACTTCATCGATTTTGAAAAGGCCTTCGACAGCGTCGATCGACAAGTAATTTGACGAGCAGCTGCTTCAACACTACGGAATACCACAAACCTTTATCAATCTCATTCAACAACTATATGAAAACGTCACATGCCAAATAATTCACAATGGAAAGCTCAGTGATGCTTTTGAAGTGAAGCCAGGAGTATGACAAAACTACGTACTATCACCCATGATGTTCCTGATTGTAGTGGGCTACATCATGCAACAAACAGTGAGGAGCGAGAAGAAGAAGGAAATATGCTGGCTGGTTCAGGGAAAAGAACCTAGAAGACTTGGATTTCGCTAGTGATGACTTGTGTCTAATGTCACACAAACTTGAAGATCTACAGGTGAAAACCAACAAGTTGACAGAAGAGGCAACGAAAGGGCAGCGAAGGGAGACGGGACTTCAAGTGTATGTAGAAAAGACAGAGGTGATGAAGATACTCAACCAACACCGCCACCACCACCAACAACAACAAGCTCCAATCAACATCAACGGGAGAAACTTAAAGGAAGTAGCCTCCTTCACCTATCTAGGCAACATCGTTTCAACTACAGGTGGCAGTGGCACAGAGGAGGACGTCAAAGCCAGCCAGAATCGGAAAGACAGCAAGACAGGCCTTCACGCATTAACCTGAAACCTGTGTGGAGATCTACTGCACTCAGCATGTGGAACAACATCCGAATTTTCAACACCAATGTCAGTCAAGTCAGTGTTTCTATGTGATGGTTGAGAGAGTTGACGCGTTACGAAAAGCATTTCCAACGAACTACAGTTATTCATCAACAACTGCCACCTACGCTGGCTCGTTACTGGAGATGAGATGGATTGTCAGAATAATAAGAATAAGCAATAAGGAACTCTGGCTGGCTGGCTGGCTGGCAATGAACCAACGAGGCAAGAACCTATTGGTCAATAAGTATGCAGTGGAAGGAAGTGTAGATGGATTGGGTATGCACTGAGTAGACCATTCAGGGACATCACGCGCCGGGCTAGGCCATCGAGTGGAACCCAGATGGGAAACAATGAGTTGGGCGTCCGAGGTGAGGGTGACATGTAGAAGATCATGTTAGGAAGAAATGAGAGCTTGTGGGCAGTCATGGAGCCGTGTTGAATAGATTGCAGAGAAGAGAGTGGAATGGAGACGTGTTACCGAAGTAATTTGTTCCACTAGGAACCGAAGAGACAAATAATAATAGTAATAATAATACCTTTAGTATTATTGCTTGTATTCTACCGTCGTTGATTGGACTGAATTGATCAATTTCTATTGGTATATGGGTTTCTGCGTAGATGCCTCGATATTACCTGTGTTTTTAATTATGTGTAATAATGATGGGCAGTGGCTAATAATGGTCCTATTTTGGACACGTCAGCCGGATGTAATTATAATTAAAAACCACCTGCAAGATCGTGGTATCTGCAGAGGAGCCCATACCTTAACAGAGATCGGTAATTCGGTCTTATCAACTATGTAACAATACAAGCAATAACACTGAAACTATACCCATCACACAAGAAGTGACTATTCTGGTTCGGTGGTCTAGTGGATAAACGCCCTGGCTTTAGAAGTAATCAGTCCGGAATTCGAATCCCGATGAGAACAACATCACTCTGCACTGAGGTGTAGGTACATCCCAGTTGATGAGTCCTAAATAAAGCGAAATACGCTTCAAGATGGATTTCACTGGTAGCCACTATCCATTATTAATATAAATGATCACTTTATTTCAAGCAACATGTATGATACAGTATGGAATATTCCAACAAATTGGCATTCTGTAAAATATTTTTCTCAAAGAAATAATTATTACCTCTGTATAGTGTTAGTAACAGGAGTGTAAAACAACGGGCAGTTAGTGTTACATTACCATCTGGTCTCAATTTGGAATTGAATACAGAATCAAGTGTCATATTGATGGTAACAGTTCAGTCAGTTAGCTAGTAGAGAAATTCACAATCTCATATAGGTAAAGATATCCTGGGAATTTGTTTACTGTCTTAACATACACTGGTTATTAGACTATAAGCTACTTCAATTTGTTGTTCATCGTAGACTGATATCAGTTGGAGAGGAACAAAGGAAATCTGGGAGCACTGGACAGCTAGCTGTTTCGTCCTAGTATGGGACTCTTCAGCAGTGTGCACATACGACCCCACCCCGCCAGGGATCGAACCCGCGATCTTCAGGTTCTCTGGCCAGCACGTTACCATTGAGCCAGCCACTGGGTCAGTAGAATCCAATGGTCGATATATCCAACTTCTATTAGCTCACGAGATAGCGCAACCGCCAGCCAATGTCATCGTTGAGTAACTGTCCTCACAACTATCAGGCTTTACCCCCACCAGTTACGACTTGTCATTGGAACTTCGGGAATACCTCTGGAAGTGAATCATCAATGAGCACCAGTTCAATTGAATTTTGAGGAAGTTGTTGTAGGGATTTGGAAATATTTCAAGTTATTATTCAACATAGACTGATATGATTCATTCATATCTGGGCATTGATTGAAAAGTTGACAATTGAAATAGGTTGTATTTGGGAAAATCCTGAGCATATTTGATTTTGTCAGTCAGTTAGTAATTAAGATAATAATTATATATTTATTTTAATCAAGCTTTTAACAAAATAATAACACATTGACAGGACATACCACTGTAAGAAAAGGTTGAATGATGGATTTGTAAATGACCGATTGACTGACTGACTGAATCCATCTACGCCAATATGGCTAATATTCAGTCATATCACCAAGTTGTCGTAATTCGCTGATTTCTTTCATCTAGAAATATGGGAAAGGGAGAAGTGAAGGTTGCCCTAAACATACAATGGGAATAACTAAACAAGATACTCAGATTTTGCTGACTGGCTGGTTGGTTGGTTGGTTGGTTGGTTGAAGGATCCAATGGTATATCTTATGAAATCAAATGTTTTCTTAAGCGGCTTACCTTCTTTTCTTTAATCCTTAGGTCCTTTGGAAAACACTACACGAGAATTTTGGATGACTATCTGGGAGCATAGAGTTGTGACTATTATTATGTTGACTAAGTGAGTTGTGTATTTTGTTTTAACGTATATTGTTCTCTTCTTCATTCATTCCTCTCTTCTTTTCTCGACTGAATTTATGTAATTAGTGAAGTTTATTTCTAAGTGAGTTTATCAGTTCAAATCCTATTTTGATTCAAGTTTTATTCAATATTCTATCCAATTTCTTTCAAGTGCCTTCCTTGTAAAGGTAGAGGTTTTGAATTAATAATTATTATTATTATTGTATTTTTAAAATGAATGGGGGAAAATCTGGGAGCACTGGACAGCTGTTTCGTCCTAGTATTGGACTCCTCAGCAGTACGCATCCACGACCCGGCTAGGGGTCGAACTCAGGACCTTCATGTTCCACGGCGAACGCGTTAACCATTCAGCCACTGGGTCTGTTGTTTTCTAGTGGTTCGTGATTTCCAACTTCTGTCAATTCACGAGACAGCGCAACTGTCACCCAAAGTTCTCACTTGGCATCCGACTGGTTGACCCCATAGGTCACGGCCTCTCATTGCACCTTCGTGATATGCATCTGGAAGCGAGTCACTAACGAGGACTATACAGTAATATATTTCTTAGATGAATGGGGATTTTTAATTTAGGAGTAGTGGCTGAATGGTTGACGCGTTCGCTGTGAAACCTGAAGGTGGTGAGTTCGATGTCTAGCCGGGTCGTGGGTGCGTACTGCTGAGGAGTCCCATACTAGGAAGAAACAGCTGTCCAGTGCTTCCAGATTTTCAATGGTTCCCCAACTGATGCCAGTCCATGATGAATACTACTTCTAAATGATTATTATCATTAAACTGGATGTTGATTGAAGATGGAGTGAAAATCTAGACCTTTGCCAGATTCCAAACACCGGCAATACTGTAAAAAGAGAATCTAAAACCTTTAACCAATTGGTTAAAGCCACACAGTCGGCTTGGATATAGGGATCCTCCTTAAAACTAACTTCATAGGATGAATTGATAACGGAATCTTTGTTTATCGAACCTATACAAAGTACATACAACAAGTGGAAGACTCCATACCTGTTCCCAGATATACGGAGAATCCTACTGTCGTATTTATGACAAAAGAGGGCAAGAAAATTATAACTACTATATTAAGTATAATTATATCAGTAAGTTTTAATCTAATCCCAGCATGGTTAAAAATTTGAAAGCGTTTCGCTATATATGCTACAGCTTCTTCAGCAGAATGAATATACGGATTCTTGTCGAATTAGAATCTGGCACCAGATGGGTGACTAATTGCATCCTTACCCTCTCACATAATAAAATATCCAGATCTTCTGATATCAATCTTTCTTCATGTCAATGAAAACCTTTCCCTAATGTCATACACACACACACACAGTGAAAGAACAATATCCATTGATTGGATAATGACATTTCGGACATACAATTTATTGTCCATATTCATATCACTAGGTGACAAACTCTACAACATTCAGACATAGTTTATATCTTTATTACTATTGATTGATATATACTTATAATTCTCCGTTGTTTTAATGGATAACTGTCTGGCGTTTGAAGCGATCGGTCCCGAGTTCGAATCCCGGTGGGAATAACACTTTGCACTGGGGTGAAGGTACATCCAGCCTTTAAGTCCCAAATAGAATGAAATGTACATCATGGGTTCCACTGTTAGCCACTATTCATCATTATTATGTATAACTAAGAATACAGGTAATATCGAGGCACCCATGAAGGGACCCATTATTGCCAATAGAGACCGATCAATTCAGTCCAATCGACTACTGTATAATACAAGTAATAATACTCAGATAATAGTAGCAATAATAATAATAATGATAATTCTGGACGTTATAATCTTCCCGTTCGAAGACTAGTCATTAAACTTATACGACGTTGACAAATTGATGCACATTTCACAAATCATATAATCATTATTTATTGTATGAACAGTATCATCTAATGGATATCAACGTCTTTTATTTATTACTATTATTATTATTATTATTATCTGTCCTTTGGGTTCCTAATGGAACATAGGACTTCAGTAGCATGTCTCTGTTCCACTCTGTTCACTGCAAACTTTCCAACCTGGTTCCACAACATCCCACAAGCTCTCATTTCTTTCTCACACCATCTCCTCCATATCACTCTTGCCTCAGACAACCAACTTGCTCTTTCCCATCTGGGTTCCACTCGAAGGCCTGGCCTTGCCTGGAGCGTGATGTCCCCGAATCGGTCTCCTCAGTGCATGCTTAATCCATCTCTACTTCCTTCTGCATATTTGTTGAGTGATCCTGGTGGAGATTGGTTCCCACCTCATGAGAGCTTTCGATGCTCTTGGGGATATTATGATAGCCACTCCCTCCGTGTGCTTATGGTTGTCGTCTGGGTTACTGGAGTAGATTATTGATTCTCCAATTGACAGTTTAGAGAGTTCACTTCCATTCCATCTGCTTTCGCAAATTCCTAACACTTCATTGCGATACCTTCTCATCTTCTTTGCAATCTGGGCAACCTTGCTAGGTTCAAACATTGTGCTGGCATTCCCATGTCCCCATGTTTACTTTCTCTTTCATGGAGAGTAGAGAAGACGTATCGGCCAATTGGCTTCCCGAAGGCTTTCACCAACTAGTGTTATTTCGTCTCCCCGATTCCAGCAAGGAAGTTTAGTTTTTTTCTAAATATTTTGTTTGTGCTTTGAAGTTTGTTTTACGGGGTAGGGTTGCTAGCCTTATGCCCAACCTTCCCTCTTTACCGGGACTTAGGACCGGCTAGTAACTAGTGAACTAGTTAACCAGGCGAGGTTAAAGTGGTGATATCGCCGGATAGAATCTATTGTCCATATTTATTTCAGGTAACTGACTCCACAACTTTGGAATAGAATGAATATAATACTTATTTCCTCTCCCTCTTTGTGGTGACAAGGGACAGGTGTAGAATCAATTTCTATTGGTTCATGTATTGAGTGTTGATTCGATAAACAAACATTTAGTCGGTTATCAATCTCTACCTCCATCCATGTATCCAATTAAGTTCATTTTCAATAATTTCTCCACTGGACTGTAATGTACAATTGTAAATCTATGAGAAGAAGGCGAATACAATCATCATCATCATTTTTCCTTAGGGTTCTCAGTGAAACATAGGGCTTCAGTAGCACGTCTCCATTACACTCTCTTCTCTGCAATCTTCAAAACCTGGCTCCATGACAGCCCACAAGCTCTCATTTCTACTTCACATCATCTCCTACATGTCATCCTCGCGACGGACGCCCAACTCATTGTTTCCATCTGGTTTCCACTAGAGGAATTCACCTGATGCGTGATGTCCCCCAATGGTCTTCTCACTGCATGCCCAATCTATCTCCGCTTCCTTTCAGTGTATATTTGTTGGGCGATAGGTTCTCGTCTTGTTGTTTCATTGCGTGGCCAGAGTTCCTTGTTGCTTATTCTTATTGTTCTAACAATCCATCTGATCTTCAGTAACGAGCCAGAGTAGATGGCAGTTGTTGATGAATATATGTAGTTTGTTGAAAGTGCTTTACGTAACCTGCCAAGTCTCTCAACTATCACATAGCAACACTGACTTGGCTGAATTAGTGTTGAAAATTCGGATGTTGTCGACACTTTATGCTGATTGCAGTGAAGCGCAATGCAGTGTAGAAGATCTTCACACTGGTTTCAGGTTAATGCGTGAAGGCCTATCTTGCTGTCTTTCTGATACTGGCTGGCTTTGACATCCTCGTCTGTGCCACTTCCGCCAGTAGTTGAAACGATGCTGCGTAGGTAGGTGAAAGAGGCTACTTCTTTCAAGTTTCTCCCGTTGATGTCGAATACAATACCCTCCACTTTATTTACCTTGATCCACAATAGAGTTATCATCATGTTCTTGATGAAGTTTTCAAGCATATTTCAACTTCCCACCCCGTTTTTCGCATATTTCATTACTTGGTTGATAAACATTCATTTCCTTATGTGATGTGATTAGTTTTACGCCCTTCTTTATTGATACCATTACCAGTAGTCATTTTATGGAGGATTTAGAGATATATTAAGTTACTTTTCACCATGGACTGATATTTGTTGAAATAACATTGGATACCTGAGAGCACTTGACAACATCTGTTTCTTCCTAGCATGGGGCCCGTCAGGAGTGCATACTCATTACCCCTCCCTCCAGAGATCGAACACGCGACCTTCAGGTTCCGTGGTCAACATGTTACCGTTGAGCCACTAGGTCAACGGAACCCAATGGTTCATATTTCCAACTTCTGTCAGTTTACCATATAGCGCATTCGCCACCCAATGTCATCGTTGAGTATTTGTTCTCATGGTGAACAGGTTTGCCCCAGCTATCATGACTTCTTATTTGAACTTCGAGAATCACCTGTTGAAGCTAATCATCAACGGGCGCACTGCTGAGAAGTCCCATACATGTGGGACGAAACAGCTGTTATCCAGTACACCCAGGTTCCAATGTTCCTCCAAGCGATGTCACGTCATGATTTAGCACCAACTTGGTAGATAGATAGATCAACGAAGGAAAGAATCAAATTCTTATCAACTGAAGTATACAATGACACTATCGATTGAATCATCAATAGTGAAATGATGTTTTAAGATAAATAAAATGATATACATCCAATGACACTTGTATTTAAGATTTAGTTTTTCCACTTTTCAGCTGACATTTAACACTATCCGCCAAAGATAAAGCATCAGGCGGGACATCAGTTCCGTTAAGGTTACAGATACGCCTTGCTGACGAGTGCCAAAAAGTATGAAACCTAGGTCCAGGGCTTCCTGTTGATTGCCTGCAACCAACTAACAACTACTAATGTGCACCCCAGTGCTGAGCTTCCTAGCTTGGTTGCCACATTACAAATATGATCGATAGAATTCGGTCTGCACTCAGGACTAGACAAGATGTAATTGGTTGCACTCGCATGACCAATCAATACATGTAAACCAGTCCTACAAAAGGTCAATCGAGGCCAGAATAGCTCAGTGGTAAAAGTCGGTGACTGCAACACTGGATGGCGAGGGACGTCAGTTCCGCTGAGGTTATAGATACGCCTTGCCGACGAGTGCCAAAAAGCACGAAATGTAGGTGAGGCAGGGCTTCCTGCTGATTGCCTCCAACCAACTAGCATCAGAAAATATCATATCGCTTAAGACGAACGGAGTCATATTGCACGTTCAGTACCACTAAGCTAGTCCTTCATGTGTATATATATATATCCTGGTAATACTCTGATTACTATTGTTTATGTTTTCTTTTGCTGAATAGGTCTACCTCAACGTACCATTTTAGAGAAAGTTAGATTAGGTTGGAAAAGGGTTCAGGGTAATCAGACCAATACATGACACCACCATCAATGCATAAAGTCTTTAACTGTTGATATGAGCCACGTAGGGAGGTGTGGACTGCTGCTTAACTGGAATCTGTGAGATAATAGGTATCAGTAGTTGAGAAGTCTTGGTGATTATATATATATATATATATATATATATATATATATATATATATATATATATATATATATATATATATATATGCATCTTCCGGATTTTCAACACTAATGTCAAGTCAGTGCTTCTATGTAATGATTGAGAGACCTGGCGCGTTACGAAAAGCATTTCCAACAAAGTACAGATATTCATCAACAACTGCCACCTACTCTGGCTCGTTCCTGAAGATCAAATTGATGTCCGGAAAGAATAAACAAGAATGAACTCTGCCTGGCTGGCAGGCAATGAACCAACGAGGCAAGAACCTATCGCTGAACAAATATGCAGTGGAAGGAAGTGTAGATTGGTTGGGTATGCACTGAGTAGACCATTCAGGGACATCACGCGCCGGTCCAGGCCTTCGAGTGGAACCCAGATGGGAAACAATGAGTTGGGCGTCCGAGGTGAGGGTGACATGTAGAAGATCATGTTAGGAAGAAATGAGAGCTTGTGGGCAGTCATGGAGCCGTGTTGAATAGATTGCAGAGAAGAGAGTGGAATGGAGACGTGCTACTGAGGCGGTATGTTCGACTAGGAACCCAAGGGACAAGTAGTAATAATATAATAATAATATATGAATTTTGATGGAGTTGTGGGGAGTTGGAAAAATTTCAAGTTGTTATTCGTTGTGGACGGATATCAGTTGGAGGAACAAATGAAACCTGGGAGCACTGGATAGCTAGATGTTTCGTCCTAGTATGGGACTCTTCAGCACTGCGCACCCACGACCCCGCCAGGGATCGAACCCGCCACTTTCAGATTCTATGGCCAGCATGTTACCATTGAGCTAGACACTGGGTCAGCAGAATCTAATGGTCCATATTTTCAAAGTCTGTTAGCTCATGATATAGCGCAACCGCTAACCACCTGTCGTAAGTGCACGCTGTTGAGGAGTCCCATACTAGGACGAAACAGTTTTCCAGTGCTTCCAGGTTCTCTTTGTTCCTCCAACTGATGTCAGTCTACAATGAATAACAACTTGAAATAATAATATTTATTGATTATTTATTTCAAGTGGAGTGTATTTTTTTTTTTAGCAGGATATTTTCAGCCAAATTTTTTTTTCATTTCATTTTAGAATTATTGAAGGTCAACGTCCCAAATGTGCATTATACTGGCCAACAAGAAATCCTTTAAAAACACAAAATTCCCGTCATTCTCATCATATAAATAATACTAGTTTGCAGAGTATGATGATTCCCAAAGACTTAGATAGTAAGTTGGTCTCAGAGACAATACCAATTAGTGCAAATTATGGAGAATTTCAAGTAGTGAATTGTGGTGAATTTATTGAAGCTGATGGATTGTATCGACGAAGTGTTTTAGAGGTGACATGTAAATCGTCTACAACAATTGTCAATAGTATGGAGAGTAATCGACAGAAATCTAAAAGTGATATACCCATCAATTCTAAGGTAAGATTTCAGCTTGTTACTATGGTTTCAGTAGATGAGAATGGTTCACTGTACAAATAAATTTGTTGCTTTATTTCTGACTACTTATAAGTAATATACTTCTTTATTTAGAAAAAAAATCAGTCAACATCCTTGTTAACATATTCTCTGAGCTTGAATAGACACACTTAACAACTCTGGCAACTACAGTTGAAAAATCAAGTGGACAGTGTAATAAAACAAAAAAAAACAGGGAAGAAACTTTCTTCGAAGGAAATCAATAAAGTGAAAATAATAGGGTTTGTAAAGTTCACCTTGGCAATAAGTGAAATAACCAATCAGAGTTGGTCTATTTCGACTGGAAAAGTAGATTTTCATAAAATAGAGAATTCTGATTGGCTATTTCAAATGTTGTTAAGGTGACCCTTACAGTCACTTTAGTTTTATATATAATATCAAATTATTTTCAAACATATATAGGTAGGTAAATAGGTCTGTGAAGGGCATTTATATTATATTATTATTTGTCCCTTGTGCACCTCTCCTGGTTAACTAGTTCACTAGTTACTAGCAGGTCCTAAGCCCGGGTAAAGAGGGAAGGTTGGGAGTGGGACTAGCAACTCTACCCCATAAAACAAATCTAACCGCTAAAGAAACTTCAAAGCACAAACGATATATAAAAAATAATGACAAACTTATTCCTCACTGGAATCGGAGAGGCGAAATGACGCCAGTTGGTGAAAGCCTGCCTTCGGGAAGCCAATTGGCCGATGTGTCTTCTCTCGAACGTGGGAACATGGAATGTCCGTACCATGCCTGAACCCAGCAAGGCAGCCTAGATTGCAAACGAGATGAAGAGGTATCACATTGAATTTGCTTCTGTATGGTTCAGAGACTTGGCGCGTTACGAAAGGGATTTCCAATAAACTACAGACATTCATCAGCAGGTGCCACCTAGGCTCACTCGATACTGAAGATCAGATGGATTGCCAGAAAGAATAAGCAAGGAGGAACTTTTGCCTGATAACGAACCAACAAAGAACCTATCACCCAACAAATATGCACTGGAAGGAAGTGGAGATGGATTGAATTGGCATACACTTAGAAGGCCGACTGGGGACATCACACACCAGGCCAGACCGTCGAGTGGAATCCCCATGGGAAGCGACGAGTTGAGCGTCTGAGGTGAGGGTGACATGGAGGAGATCTTGTGAGGAAGAAATGAGAGCTTGTTGGCTATCGTGGAGCCGTGTTGAAAAGATTTCAGAGAACAGAGTTCACTGGAGACGTGCTACTGAAGCCCTATGGTTCCATTAGGAACCCAAAGGATTAATAATAAAAATAATAAATTATTTGTCCCTTGTGTTCCTAGTGAAACCTACCCCTTCACTAGCACGCCTACATCCCACTCTCTTCTCTGCAATCTTTTCAACACGGCTCCATGACTGCCCACAATCTTTCATTTCTTCCTCATATGATCTTTTACATGTCACCCTCACCTCGGACGCCCAACTCATTGTTTCCCATTTGGGTTCCACTCGAGTGCCTTGGCCTGGCACGTTTTGTCTTCGAATGATTCTCTCAGTGTATGCCCAATCCATCTTCACTCCCTTTCAGTGCATATTTGTTGAGTGATAGGTTCTTGCCTCATTGGTTCGTTGCGTGGCTAGAGTTCCTTATTGCTTACTTTTTCTGGCCATCTGATCTTCAGTATCGAGTTAGCGTAGACTACAGTTGTTGAAGCAGCATTTTCCAAATTACTTATCGATCAATGCTGTCGAAGGCCTTTTGAAAGTCGATAAAGTTAAAGTAGAGAGTTGACTTGCATAGAAACATCACAATCCATGTGACCTATCTCAATGATTTGTTTCATAGCTGAAGAGATTCAGTGTCTGCTACCAATATGTTTGCATTTCAAACCATCTTAGAATATTCTCCGACGTCATCTCCTCCTCCTTCTCTTTATATATGTATCACCACACATACATATTTAACATTGTTCTTCATATGCTGTAAAGATTTAGGAGAGAGTATACCATCTTGATGGTTCCTATTAATCGAACACTACTTGTATTGCATACTAAGCTCTTCTCTCATAGGGACTGTACTACAATAGTCACTTTTATGTAGAAGGACTTTCTTCTGGATCAAAATGATGAATAGATCTCGGTATTTTGACTACTTTGTACCAACTAATAAATTTTGATGAATTGTTCAACAATATTCTTGTCTCATCTTCTAAAGTATCATTCGTGTATATTCATTGAATCCTAGTGGATAAAAACATCTAACTTATGCTTACTTTTAATGAACTGGACAAAAGAAGATGATGATTAGCCTATCCATATAGGTTATCTGTAGATAGGGTCGTTTTATACATCCATCGTGCCATCATCTAATTAATATGTTGAAGAAAGGTAAGCAATTATAGTCCTCTTCATGTCATCAACTAGAGATGTGGCACAGACGAAAACATCAAAGCCAGCCAGGATTGGAAAGACAGCAAGACAGGCATTCATTAGCCTGAAATCAGTGTGAAGATCTACTGCAGATTTTCAACACCAATATCAGTCAAGTCAGTGCTTCTATGTTGATGGTTGAGAGACTTGGCGCGTTACGAAAAGCATTTCCAACGAAGTACAGTTATTCATCAACAACTGCCATCTACACTGGCTCCTTACTGAAACTCAGACGGATTGTCAGAATAATAAGAATAAGCAATAAGGAACTCTGGCTGGCTGGCTGGCTGGCTGGCTGGCAACGAACCAACGAGGCAAGAACCTATTGGTCAATAAGTATGCAGTGGAAGGAAGTGGAGATGGGCATACACTGAGAAGGCTGACTGGGGGACATCATGTGCCAGGCCAGTCGCTTGAGTGGAATCCAAAGGGTAGACGACGGGTTGGGCGTCCGAGGTGAGGGTGACATGGAGGAGATGATATGAGGAAGAAATGAGAGCTTGTGGGCTGTCATGGAACCAGGTTGAAAGGTTTGCAGAGAAGAGAGTGTAATGGAGACGTGTAACTGAAGCCTTATGTTCCATTAGGAACCTAAAGGACACCTTCAATATAGATGTACTTTCTCAATTATACGTGACGACAAATACTCAATGATGAAATTGGATGATGTTTGCGCCATTGGATTCCGACGCACTGACTCAATGGTCACATAACTTGAAAGTCCTTGGTCTAATCCCTTGCGCAGGGGGGTCATAGTGTGCACTAATGAGAAGTCCTCGTGTGATATGAATATGTCTGCTAAAAGTGGGGGGGGGGGGCTCTCATGGCAAAGCTACTTATAAGAAAAGCATCACGAAGTGATATCAATGAGCGGAATATTGAGAACCTTGGAGCACTGGACGACAGGTGTTTCGTGCCAGCGGGGAACTCCTCAGCAGTGCACACCCCACATTTCCACTCCTGTCACTTCACGATATAGCACGACCTGCATCCAATGCCGCTGTCCTTGAGCAACTATCTTCACACGTTTGACTTAGTTAGCTCCAATGGTCACGATTTATCATGGGAACTTCAGCAATCATCTCTCAAAGTCAATCACGAATGAGCACTAGGTTAGTTTAATTTGGAAGGATTTTGTTGATTTCAGGTTGGTATTCATTCATCATGAACTGGAATCAGTTGGTGAAACATTGTAAGCCTGAGAGAACTGGACAATAGCTGTTTCATCCCACTTATTATGGATCTCCCCAGCAGTGTACACCCACGGGCTCGAACCCATGACCTTCAGGTTCAGCGATCTAGTCGAAATCAAATGGTTCACAGTTTCCTACTTCTGTCAGTTCACAATATAGTGCCACCTTTATCCATTGCCGCTGTCGCTGAGTAACTGTTTTCTTATCCGATCGCAACTTCTCATCTCAAAGCAAGTCACTAATGAGTACAGGATAATTATTCAATTTGGAGTTTCATGGAGATCCATTTATTATTAATTTCAGGTTGATATATTTGTCATGGAATGATATCGGTTGGCGAGCCTAGGATTTTCAACTATCGATTTTACATGTTTTGAAGAAGGTCAACTCGAATGCCCACATTCTCTTTTACATAATTCAGAGTGACAATCAGAAACTTCCCCATTTTTTTTGGTTGTGTAATGTGAACTACTTATAAGGTGCATATAAGTAGTATAAACAGTAACATGAAAAGTGACAACGATGAATTGATGAGAATCATGCTAAAAAGAGATGCAAAACAGGTGATAACTTGCAAATGGACAAATTATCGTTAGATTCAGGGGGATTTCACCGATATCAGCGATATTTTTTTTCCTCTCAAAACTCATGTGCTGTTTAACTCGATTTATTAGTTGTTTTAACTAGTTTCTCTCTTTAACCACCTCTCCCAGCCTTGTCTTATTTTCATTCATGTGACCCTCAATGTGTTGACTCTCTTCAATCTTCTAATATGCTCACTTCGGCTCACTGAACTGATCATATATGTTGTGTTATTTATCTTCCCCCCCCCCTCCTCCTCTTCTTCCCTCTCCACAATGACGTTACCGGCGAGACTAGTAACCTAGTCCAGAAGAGTTGTGAAAACTATTCTATCACTGTCATGACTGTGATCGGGGCTTGCAGTTAATTATTCCTTATGAATGAGGAATTCCTGACAAATGCAAGTCATAAGCTTACGCTAATTATGTCCCTACCCTTCATACACACCGCTTGTTGTTACTACTGATTGAATACTTTAGTAAAGTCGTTGGATTGGTGTCGATGAAGTGGCTTGCCACTTGATTGATGACGAATAGACAACCTAATTTGACTAGTTAGAAATATTAGAAGTTGTAACAAGGTTTCCGTAGGTGAACTTGTGAAAAGATCATTATATATTATCATTTTGACTATCTGATTTGAACCAGTGACTACCGGGTTTCCGACCCGGTACTCTACGAGGCCCGACTGCTGACCAGATTTTTATTTCACTTCATCAATCACCAAGGGTTTGGCTCAATGACTACCATGTGAATTCGTGACCTATGCCTAAGACTTGATCGTATTC